GATCATGTCGGGCCCTTCCATTTGGAACCATAAAAACCTAAAACATTTAAACATAAAATCGTAAGCAGAAAGCTTAGTGAGTTCCCCAAAACACAACATACCATACATAATATCACATGTCTATTTCAACCCCAAGTGAATGTTATGGGACAAATCATAGTCTTACAATCACTTTCTGCCATGGGCCAAATCATGGTCTTACATACAAGTGTCTGGGGCCAGATCCTGGTCTTCCATACAAATGGTAGGGGCCGACTCCTAGTCTTTCATATAAGTGTCAGGGGCCAAACTCTGGTCTTTCAATTATCAAGGGCCAAAACTTGGTCTTCCATACAAGAGTCCCAAAGACAAATAACATCCTACATAGTATAGTGAGAAGACTCGCCCTCGCCCCCTACTCGAAGCCGAAACAATCATAGATCGTAGAGCCGTGAAATCGATGCTACAACCCACCTATTGAAACATTCAAGGTCAAACCTTAGTTTACACTCAAAATCTGGAAATTTGACCAAAAGTCAACCAATTCAAAAAGTCAACGGTCAAAGTCATCTCTAGTTGACCTCCGTGGACACCTATTGGCCACGTTGTGGAAGCTTCACGACAAATAGTCGTGACTAGACCAGCCACCACGTCGTGGTAACTGTACATGGATAGATTAATGGATTAAGGTCTTTACTCCCAATCCAAGAGCTACAAAGCTTAGATCTGAATCTCCTCAAGGTCTTGAAGGATAAAGTTTCAAACTTTACCCATTACGGCCCCCAATGAATCAAGATCTCTAAGCCTAAGTTCTTAATGGTTGCAACAAATGCATGGGCACCAAGCTAAGTCATGCAAGACCACTTTCCAAAAAAACACCATGGTCTAGAAGCCAAAAAGATGCACTCAAAATGCTCTGGAGTTCACTCAAACTGCAAGGACAAGAATATTGGGACCAAAAATCTCATAAAATGACATAGAACAAGAACTAGAGAAGTAATGAGCAACATTGAGACTTTATACCTCCAAGAGGTCAGAAATGTAATAAAGATGTTGCATCTAAGTTGGAATCAATATCAAAAACCACAAGATTTACTCATTATTCCTTCAATCTTCACAAAGATGGCTTCATACATAAAAGGCTAGGGTTTGGGTGGGGATCGATTTCAGAGGATGGAGGCTGCTAAATCAGGCAGCCTTAGGAGTTAATGCCTTTAAATACGGAACTAATCCCGAAATCTAAGGTTTTGAACCCCAGCTGCCACCACGTCGTGACCAAGGGCTTGCCACGTTGTGGTGGTTCGCATATGCATGTTTTTTAACCGATTTGCCACGTCGAGGCCATTCCATCACCAAATCCGATTTGCCACGCCTTGGCCATTCCATCACCACGTCGTGGCCAAGCCAAAACCCCAAAAACTTATATTAAAAGAAATTAAACCTAGAAGAAGCATACCAGAAAGCGGATGTTACAATTCTCCCCCACTTAAATTGGATTTCTTCCTCGAAATTCATTGTTGCAAATAACTCTGGATAATGCTCCCTCATCTCGCCCTGAGTTTCCTAGGTCCACTTAGAACCCTTCTAGTGTTGCCATTATACCCTCACCAAACCCACTACCTTGTTGCAAAAGGTCTTCGTCCTTCTGTCAAGAATTTTTACCGATCTCTCTACGTAATTCAGGCGCTCATCAACCTAAATGTCATCCAAGGGAACCAATGTGGAATCATCGGCCAAACACTTCCACAACTAAGAGACATGAAAGGTATCGTGGATCTGACTAACCTCCAAAGGAAGATCCAACCGATAAGCAACCTTGCCCACCCAGGAAATAACCCTAAAAGGACCGATGTATCTGGGGCATAACATGCCCCGCTTCCAGAACCGGATGACACTCTTCCACGGTGACACCTTCAGAAGCACGAAATCCCCTACCTAAAACTCGAGATCAAAATGGTGTCGGTCAACATAGCTCTTCTTCCTGCTTTACGCGACCTACATCCTACCACACACTTGCTTAATCAACTATGTGGTCTTGAGCACTACCTCAGTGCTCCCCATCACTTGCTGACCGAACTCACCCCAACAAATTGGGGTCCTACATTTCCTACCATACATCAAGCTCAAAAGGAGGCATACCAATGCTAGTGTGATAGTTTTTGTTGTAGGAGAACTTAGCTAAAAGAAAATAAGTATCCCAACTCCCACAAAAATCCAACACACATGCATGAAGTATATCCTCGAGTGTCTAAATGGTCAGCTCAATCTGTCTATCAGTCTGCGGGTGGTAAGCGGTACTGAAAATCAATCGAGTACCCAACTCCTCGTGAAACTTCCTCCAGAACTTGGAAGTAAAATGGATGTCACGATCTGAAACAATAAAAACTGAAACTCCATGACGTGCAACCACCTCCTTTATTTAGATCTCAGCTAGCTTCTTAATGGACGAACTCTCTTGAATCGGGATGAAGTGGGCATTCTTGGTCAACCTATCAACAATAACCCAGATAGAATCAACCCCACGTGTCGTGCTGGGGAAACTTCGTGATGAAATCCATGGTGATCTCCTACCATTTCCACATGGGAATGTCTAACGACTACATCTTGTTGTGGGGTCTCTAATGTTCGGCCTTGACTTTCCGGTAAATCAAGAACAGCTCCACGTACCAAGTTATCTCCCTCTTTATACAGGGCCACCAATAGCTAAGTCTCATGTCTCTATACATCTTCGTAGCGCCTGGATGGATCGAATACTTTGACTTGTGTGCTTCTTTCAACAATGTCTGCCTAACTCCGCTAGAAACAATAACCCACACTCTACGACATTAAGTCAACAAGCCCCAACTATCTCTGACAAATAATGGAATTTCGCCGATGATCTTTTCTTTCTTCCAATTCTCTTCCTTCAACCCCTCAACCTGTGACTTCTTGATCAAATCCAATAGTGGTAAAGTGATAATCATCCTCAAGCATAGGTCTCTGATAGGAGCACTAGTTACCTTGCGACTCAAGGCATCGGCCACTACGTTGGCCTTCCCAAGATGATGCATAATCTCATAATCATAATCCTTCACCACATCCAACCATCTACGCTACCTCATATTCAGGTTCAGATGATCCATCAAATATCATAGACTCTTGTGATCTGTGTAGATAGTACATCGGACCCCATACAAGTAATGCCGCAAAATCTTGAGGGCAAAAACCACAGCCCCCAACTCTAGATCATGAGTAGGATAGTTCGCCTCATAAGGCTTCAACTGCCTCGAAGCGTAAGCAATCACATGGCCTATCTGCATAAGTATTGACCCCAATCCCATAAACGAAGCATCAAAATAAACCACAAAAACATCTACACCCTCAAGAAGGGTCAGTATCGGAGCCTCACATAACTTCGGCCTCAAAGTCTCAAATATCGCATGTTGCTCAAGCCCCCACCGAAAAGTGAAATTATTCTTCGTTAAACGTGTCAAAGGAACTGCGATCTTGGAGAAATCCTGAATAAATCTCTGATAATACCCAGCTAAACCAAGGAAGCTCAGAACCTCAGATGGAGACCTCGGGACCTCCCACTGCATCACGGCCTCGATCTTGGCCGAATCGATCAAGATACCATTATGCTTAATGAGGTGACCCAAGAACTACATCTCACGCAACCAAAACTCACATTTGGAGAACTTTGCAAAAAAAGTCTCTCTCTCTCTCTCTTCAAAGTCTCAACAACGTCTCTCACATGCTCCTCATGTTGCTTCTTGGTCTTAGAGTAGACCAAGATATCATCGATAAATGCAATTAAACCAGTCCAACATCGGCCTGTACACTCGGTTAATGAGATCCATGAACGTTATCGGTGAGTTGGTAAGTCCAAAAGGCATCACCACAAACTCGTAATATCCATAACAAGTCCTAAAGGCTGTCTTCTGCACATCCTCATCCTTAGACCTCTTATGATGATAACCTGAACGCAAATCAATCTTAGAGAACCAAGATGCACCCTGAAGTTGATCAAACAAATTTTCGATCCTCGGAAGTAGATAACGGTTATTCATCATTAACTAGTTCAACTCCCGGTAATCTATACACATATCCTTCTTCTTCACAAACTGAAGTGGTGCTCCCCATGGTGAACTGATCGGCCTTATAAATACCTTGTTAAACAGATCCTACAACTGTGTGGACAACTCCTACATATCTGGAGGTGTTAGACAATATGGAACCTTGGCTATTGGAGCCGCACCCGGAACCAGATCAATCTGAAACTCTACCTGTCTCTTAGGAGGAACCCCGACAAATCCTTGGGAAAAACATCGGGGAAATCCTGAAAAATAGGAACACCATCCATAGTCTTCTTCTCTTCGACCCGAGTATTTACAATATAATCCAAGAACCCCAAACATATCTGCTGAAGATACCTCTTAGTTCTCATAGCTAAGCAGATAGGCAGTCCATGGTGTGTGCCCTCGCCATGAATAACCACTTTTCCCCTACTTGGGGTTCAAACTCTCACCAACTGATGCTAACAATTAGGGATGAGCATATGGACCGGGGAACCGGTACCGGAACCGGAACACGATGGAACCGGTCGGGCCAGGACCGATACTATAATGTTGTCAATTTGTGGAACCGGGAACCGGTAAGAACCAGTCATTGGAACCGGTCCAAAACAGGGAACCGGACCGGACAATCTTTAAAAAAAACCCACGGCTTTTGCCTTTTGGAATTCTGAATTGGACGTCAAAAAAAGCGCCACAAAGTTCGTGGCACGAACCCTACCACTCTGACTGTCGGTCATCGACATCTCCAATAAATCCAATCATCGATCATCCCTTATACGATTCCTTGATTAATCGTTCATCCTAAGATTGTTCGACCACCGGTTCCATCGATCTTCATCATGAATTATCATCTTCTCAATTCTCAAGTCGACATCTTCATATTTTGCTTCCATTCTCAAGTCAACATCAATCATCACCAATCCACCATCATTTATCATCTTCTCAAATCTCAACCATCAATAAGTAATGTCAAAAGGTGGAAAAATTAGTCTACAACCATCAACTTCTCAACAATTACCTTCAATAATTCGAACTATGGATGCTCATGAAGATCAGGTAAGATTATATATTTGTATTTCATGTTTTAAGTTCCATTTAACAATGTGCTTTTGTTTTTTGTAGACATACATGCAAGATTTTTGTTAGATTAGTTTATAGTATGAATGTAAGATTGTCAAAACTAAGAATTTGTTTAGTTATATAATTAATGTATTATATTGACAATGTAGGATTTGAATGGGTTACCAAATGTACCATCATCAAGATACCGAAACTCGGATGTTCATGATGCCAATAATGAAGATGGTAATCCGACTAATTGGATTGGAAAAGACTTTGATGACCAAGTAAGATTAGCAATATTTACTTCTTTAGCATTCTGTCCAAAATTTGAAAGTTGCATAACTCAGTCAATTTAAGTTGTATTAACCTGAGTTTTTTTCCTAAATTTAGTTTATGTTTTGTAGATAAGTTTAGATCATAAAAAATCTTTTTTTGGTTAAAAATTGAATGAGTTACAAGCCCCGCAAGAAAGCGTGTCAAATCAGAATTTTTTTTATGTTTCAGCAATTAAACGTAATCTGACTTTGTTGTTCAAATGTGCATAACTCACTCAATTTAAGTTGTTTTGACCTGACTCTTTTTCCTACATGAAATTTAGGTTTTTTAGATATGTTTAGACTATAAAAATGCTTGATTTGGTTAAAAATTGAATGAGTTACAAGCCCCGCAATAAAGCATGTCAAATCAGAATTTTTTTATGTTTCAGCAATTAAACGTAATCTGACTTTGTTGTTCAAGTGTTCATAACTCACTCAATTTAAGTTTTTTTGACCTGAATCTTTTTCCTACATGTATTTTAGGTTTTGTAGATAAGTTTAGACTATAAAAACGTTTGATTTGATTAAAAATTGAATGAGTTACAAGCCCCGCAAGAAAGCGTGTCAAATCAGAATTTTTTTTATGTTTCAACAATTAAACGTAATCTGACTTTGTTGTTCAAACGTGCATAACTCACTCAATTTAAGTTGTTTTGACCTGAATCTTTTTCCTACATGTTTTTTAGGTTTTGTAGATAAGTTTAGACTCTAAAAACTCTTCATTTGGTTAAATATTGAATGAGTTACAAGCCCCGCAAGGAAGCGTGTCAAATCAGAATTGTTTTTATTTTTCAGCAATTAAACGTAATATGACTTATTATATGTTTTATTTTAAGAATATAGGGTTATGGAGAAGATTCAGAAGAAGATTATATACAAGAAACATTGGCATGGAATGTTATACCAAGTGACGAATCAGACCAAGAAGAGGAGTCATAAGAACAACAATCTTCAAAAAAACGAAAATTTGCAACCCCACAAAAACGAAGACAACCAAAAAACCAACACAAACAAAAAAACCACGACTATCAAAAAAAACAAACACAAGAAAAATACTCAACAAAACCAAAACCCAAGAACAAAAAAATGACTCAAAAGGAGTTAAAGGACCGGATTAACCCAACCAGACGAGGTGAGGGTAGAGATAATTGTACTGCTCCTGTTTGGGATTACTTCGAGATAGAATGGATAAAGGAGGAAGGTGTAATTGAAAGAAAGTGGGATGAATGTAATTATTGTTTAAAATTACTAGCCGCGGATGTAAACCGGAATGGGACAACTTCAATAAACAAGCATTTTAATGGCTGTAAGTTAAATCCGGACAACAAACCGAAAGAAGATGATGAAAAAAACAAAAGTTGTCATTTACGAAAGCTCCTAATGGTGAGGGTCACGTATACACATGGAAAATGATGATAGTAGGATCCAACTTGCCTTACAATCCTTTTCACCATCGAGAAACTACCCTTTAAATACATTGAAAACGAGGCATTCATAGAATTTGTAAACGCCCTCAATGGTAGGGTGAAATTGCCTTCAAGGCATAAAATTTCTCGTGATGTTGTGTCCTTCTATTTAATAGAGAGGCAGAAGTTGTACAAACATTTGAGCAACCCCAAAACATCCATCCACTTGACAACCGACACGTGGACATCCTCGTATCAAAAGATAAATTATATGGTTGTCATGGCTCACTTCATTACCGAAGATTTTGTCATGCATAAAAGGGTAGTCAACCTCAGAGAGGTTGATACTCACAAAGCTAAAGACATGGCCCGGGAGTTGCTAATTTGCATAAACGAGTGGGGCATGAAGAATGTCATGACGATGACCGTTGATAATGCCAAGACGAATGACGCGGCAATTAACATCATTGTGAAAGAACTGTTGGGTATTTACGAGAATAGCAAACATTTTCACGTTAGGTATATGGCTCATATCATAAACCTAGTTGTGAAAATGGGGTTAAAACATCAAGTTTACCATGTAAAAAGCATACATGATGCGGTGAAATACATTAGAGCCTCCCCGCAACGGATCAAGACCTTTAACCAAGCCATGAAGGATGCGGCTGTAGAAACTCAAAGGCTTTTGTGTGGTGAAACTCCAACAAGGTGGAACTCTACCTTTGAATTTCTAAGATCAGCATACGATGTGAAAGACGCGTTTCTCGAATATAGCCATCAAGGTAAATAAAACCAAATATGTTTCAGCACTAAAAATTACCAATATTTACTTCTTTAGCATTCTGTTCAAATTTTGAAAGTTGCATAACTCACTCAATTTAAGTTGTATTGACCTGAATCTTTTTCCTACATGTATTTTAGGTTTTGTAGTTAAGTTTAGACTATAAAAGTGCTTTATTTGGTTAAAAATTGAATGGGTTACAAGCCCCGCAAGGAAGCGTATCAAATCAGAATTTTTTTTATGTTTCAGCAATTAAACGTAATCTGACTTTGTTGTTCAAATGTGCATAACTCACAAAATTTAAGTTGTTTTGACCTTAATCTTTTTCCTACCTGTATTTTAGGTTTTGTAGTTAAGCTTAGACTATAAAAACTCTTGATTTGGTTAGAAATTGAATTAGTTACAAACCCCGCAAGGAAGCGTGTCAAATCAGATTTTTTTTTATGTTTCAGCAATTAAACGTAATCTGACTTTGTTGTTCAAATGTGCATAACTCACTCAATTTAAGTTTTTTTTACCTGAATATTTTTCCTACATCTAGTTTAGGTTTTGTAGTTAAGTTTAGACTATAAAAACGTTTGATTTGATTAAAAATTGAATGGTTACATGTCTTGGAATATAGCATACCAAATCTGTTTTTTGTTGCAGCAACATACATGAAACTTGGATTGTATTTTCTTTGTTCTTTTTTATAGATCCAATGTTTCAGAAAAGTGTGGAAAGGATATTATCGCATTCAGACTATGAGATGATTAAAAAGATGATGGAGTTCCTTGAGAAGTTTAATATGAAAACTGAAAAAAAATTATGTTCAACAAAGCCTATCTTCCATACATATACCCAAGAGATCCTAGACATAGAGCAACATCTTAGGAAACATGAAACCAACCCGGATTTTTTGTTTATGGTACCGGATATGAAAGAAAAATATGACAAATATTGGGGTGACTATGACAATATAAGTGATTATGTCTTCTTTGCGACATTATTAGATCCTCAATGCAAGTCAAAGTTTATGAAAAATGTTTTTACCCAAATGCTTAAAGCCAAGAACAAAGATAATAAGATGTCCGTTGATTAGATAGAATCGAAAGCACGTGCAAAGGTTATTGATATCAAATTCAAATTGGACAAGTTTTTCAAGACATACTTGGAAAGGTCAAACATGACCTCGTCGTCTTAACAAGAAACTCCCAAAGAAGTTGTTAATTTTGATGACGAAAACGACTTCTTTGGTAGCTATATGACCTCGGGAAGTTTCCCCTCGACTTCGTTAGAAAGTCAATTGCAATGATACTTAAACGAGGACCCAATCGGATTTGACAAAGGATATGATATCCTCACATGGTGGAAAAATAAGGCGTTGCGGTTCCCGATTGTTGCTCGAATGGCAAAAGGTACCGACCCTCTTTTACTCTCATTTTCATTTTTAATTTATAAATTCATGTCGTGTATTATACACTAATTTTTTTCTTAATAGATATTTTGGGGATGCAAATTTCCACCGTAGCATCCGAATCCACATTCAGTAACGGTCGTCGAGTAATTACTGACTACTATACTAACTTGTCTGTTGTGATTGTGGAGGCATTGATATGCACTCAAGATTGACTAAGAAAGAGTAGCTTGCCTATATATGACTATGACTAAGTGCACGATGTGTTAGCTGACGATGACCTCGCTAGTGGTAATACACTAATACTTGGTATATCTTATTTTTAACATCTTATTAGTAATTGTTACATTTAATTAAGTAATAACGTGTTTCTTTTGTATTATATATAGACATTGTGGATGCTATACACAACTTGAAGCTAACGGGGAAGATATTGGTGAATTAGTCAAAATGTCAAATAGATGTTGGAATCCACATATTAGACTTTGTTTTTTTTGTTGGGGAAACTTGAAAGTATATTTTGAATGTTGAAAGTATATTTTGAATGTTGAATCTTCTAATGTTGGATAGTTAATGATGGTGCAATGGTTGTTTGAAAGAGAAAAATTGACTTATTATTGATAATATCAAACTTGTAGTTTTTCATATATTGTCCGAAAAATGCTTTTTTATATAGCTTACATTCAAAAAAATAAACAAAACCCAACACTTTTACAAAATTACAAACAAAATCTATAGACCATTTATCAAACAATTAGTGCACACAAATATGTACTAAACAAAAACCGACAAGAACCGGGCATAAACTGAAACCGTAACCCAAAAATACGTTGCTCTTTCTCGAAGACCTGTTCCAAAATCGAAGACCCGGCAAAAACCGGAAGCGGTAGAACCGGTGGTCCGGTTCGGTTCTTGATTTCGGCCGAAGCCGGTTCCCAGGTCGGATCTGGGTCGGGTCGGTTCCGACCGGTTCGGTTCGTTTGCACATGCCTACTCACAATCAATCATATCCCCATTCTGGCACAACCAATCCATGCCCACATCGATCTTTATCCCTCGCAGAGGAATATAGACCAGGTCTATCAAATACTTCTCAAGAAACAACTTGAGAACGCAACATCGATGGACTCTCGGAGCACTTACCATACGATCATCAACAATATCCATCTCCAATGGGTAATACAATGCTCCCGGAGCGTCACTTAACTTCATGCTAAGCGCAAGAGATCTGAAAGATCGGGTAGCACCCGAATCGAAAAGAACATGAGCAGTCACACCATTGACTAAAAACATCCTTATTCACAAGCAGATAAAACATAAGAACAAATAATTAAATTAGTAACATATATGATATGGATACATATCAGTGACAATATCTGGTGCTGCTTAGGCCTCCTCAGCCGTCAACTAAAAACCTCGACTCTTTACCATAGGAGCATCTGCCTTTCCCTCACGGCCATCAATAATCCTTAATGTAGCTGGAGCGGGTGCCCTTGTCGCTCCTCCTGATAATCTCGGACAGTCGGCCTTTTTATGGCCTACCTGATTGCAATGAAAGAAAATCAGACACGATCCCTAGGGATAAGCCCAACTAATATAACATGTCTTGCCGTACTTGTAGAAACTCGAACCACCTGCTCGACACACCCCATCGTGTGATTTATCGCATTTTTGGTAAAGGCCCCGACCCTGTTGGCCTCTAGATCGACAATCGAAAGTCTTGCGCCTTTTCTCTGTGTCATCCACCACCTAATCCTGAGGTGGCTTTCGCTTCGACCGAAGCTCCAGCTCAATCTCCTGCTCTCGGGCGTTGTCAATCATATCCTCTAGGGTCATGTAGCTTGAAATGCTAACAAACTCCCTGATTTCATCTCTCAGCATGTCATGATATCGTTTCTTCTTCATCTCCTCATTTTCAATATACTGCGGAACCAACAAAGCCCTCTCCCTGAATTTGGCGGTGATGTCCGCCACAATCTCCATCGTCAGACGCAGGTCCTGAAACTCCTACACTAGCTGTTGAACCTCGATGGCAGGCACAAACATAGCTCTAATAAAGTCTGCCCAAGTCATATCCCTAATGGTCACTGCTCCCAGAGCACGACGGACCTCCTCCCACCAGTCACGAGCCCTATCCCGCAATAGACTAGCTACAAAGCTAACTTTTGACCTCTCAGGACAGAAGCTCATCTGATAGGCCCTCTCGATGTATGTAGTCCAATGCATGATGGCAATGGGTCCCTTCTTCCCGAAGAACTCGGGAGCCCCACAAGCATGAAACTGACAAAAGGTGAAAGTATGGTCCCCCACATGACTGGCGTCCATCTTCGCACGTAAAGCCCCCAAAAGCTCCTCT